GCTGCATTTTGGGTTGATGCACATGCCTATCTGATGCACATGCTTATCAAACACGTTAGGCAGTAAACCATTCTACTCGAAACGGCAAGAGTGACACGACGTGGCTTTCTAGCTCAGGCAAGAGCCAGTGAAACTAGCGCACTTCACCTATTGATTGACACACTTGACCTAACATCAACAACATTTTCATTCACAAATGCCCACTGGCGGATCCGTCAGTTTCGATCAGTTTCGTTTGCTCCTCGATTGCCCGAGTTGTTGCGCTCAGTAATTGAGCGGCCCCTGCTGAACGCGAGATCCCTGCTGCACAAGCGAGCGACAGCTCATCAGTCGCGACACTGCAACTTTGAACTTCAACCCCAACCACAACTTGGCTCGACAAACAGAACAGGCGACAACGACGTATCGACGCATTCGCGCTGCCACCTTCGACGCATCCGCGCCGGCGCAACTGATTGATCACTGCCATGGCGGACCCTTCGCTGCCGCCTTCCAATGCGGCGACAGGCAACGGAGCTCCAAATGCTCACTGTCAGCTCGCTCGACTTCCAGAAGAACTGATTTCCAACATTTCGCTTCGTTTGCAGTCTGACGACGTGTTCGCGCTGCGACAGACCTGCGTTGATATCGAACGTAAAACCCTTCATGAGTGGGCCAAGGAATATTTCGCCCAAAAAGTATCATGTTCGCCAAAGGCTGAATCGACACGAGCTGACCACCACTTGTAGTGCTTTATGTTCACGACCGAGTCACTGAAAGTTCTCGTCAACATCGCCAATAGCGTCAAACTCCGCGGTTATCTGCACGATGTCTACTTCATTACGGCGCTCGTCAAAGAGCGACCAAAACACTGCCCACATTCTTGCCTAGGTCACTGCTGGCATCCAGGCGTGAGGCAACGCGAGGCCTTCATCCTTTACTCGCGCGACCAGCAGATGCTTAGACGGACCAAAGGCTTCAAAGCGTCCTTGGTTGAGGCATTCAGCAAACTGCCGCGCATGAAGCACCTCGCTTTGGTCGACAACACCTCAGACGTGCCACTGACTGCCGAAATACGAGGGCTGAGCAAATTTCATCGGACGACCGGCACAACTCCTCATTACGGGCCTTCAGATGCAGCCACGCAACAGGCGCTGACTGAGCATTTCGAGTGGCTGTCCCTGTGTTGGAAGGGTTTGCTTGTGGCTGTCGCTGACAGCGGCATTCGATCGCTGAAGGTGGTGGAGACGAGAACACGCAGCCACCTCCACGGACTCTCGCCGACTGAAGATCTGAAGTTCAAGCCGAACACACTCGAGAAGCTCAGAACCGCATTCGCCGAGCTTGAAGATTTCAGAGTTCAGTTCCGGAGCTACGATCTCCGCAAAGGACATGACGACGATATCCAAGGTGCACGCACGGCTCTTGTCAATTTCACACCTTTGCTTTCGAGTGTCGTCAACTACAGATGGAGTTTTGATCTCGCCGATCCAACTGGCCTCATGTGCAAGTCACTGGCTAGTGCATTGGATCTTACCAAAATCAAGAAGATCAAGCTCGACAGTATTGTGATCGATGGCAAGACTATGGCCACCATCATTGCAGGCATGTGCAACGTTGAGAAGCTCATGCTTCACGCGATCGATCTCAGCTCAGGCAACTGGGTCACAATCCTCAAGGTCATCAAGCAGCTGCCAAAGCTGCAGCACCTGCACCTAGAATACCTACAACAGACTGCGCGAAAGGTTTACTTCTTGAAACAATTGGACGAAGTCATGCTTGCAGACGAAGCAGCTTGGGGACCTATGCCGGAAATGCATGTCGATCCAGAGGACGAGTGGACTGAAGAAGAAGACAGCGACGATGAGCTTCCCGACCTCATTCCCGAAAATGAGGTTGATTTGCCGCAGTCACACGAGGTCAGACCTGCCACTGCGGACGCGCTCCAGCCTGCAAGTACCACACAGACGGTACCCGCGAAGAAATGCAGCATGTACGAAGACAAAGACCACAAGGCACCAGGGCAAGAGCGAATGCCAGAGAGGGGGTATTTCATCTGTCTCCCATCTCTTGAAGATATCAATGAGCAGCTGCCACGTTTCATCGAGGAGTTCAATCTAGGTCAAGACATTCACGACGACGCAGGTGGTCTGAACGGCCTCAATGGCCTTTTTGCTGCGCTTGGTGGTGGGCCAGTCGGAGGCGCACATGGCGGAATCGTGTTGCCAGTTCCAATGGGACCGCCGCCGCCTGGTGGGCCACCACCTCCCGCGGGACCGCCTCCAGCTACTGGTAATGCCCCGCAGGCGGCACAAGCTGCACCAGGTGGGCCAGCGGGACAGGGTGGACAACCCGGACAAGCTGGGCAACAGCAGCATGGTTTAAATCCACTGACAGCAACGCTGAACCAGATACTTGCCGGAGGACCGCTGCCACCTGGTCATCACCACCACACCTTCACGTTCCCCGTGCCTGTATTCGGTCCTCCTGCGCCAAACACGAATGCAACTCCTGGCCAACCTGGGGTGAACGCACAAGCTGCGGCCACTAATACAACACCAACGCCGGTGATACCGTCGACATCCACGGCCGCTACAACATCAGAGCAAGACTCTGCGTTTGCCGCTTTCGACGACGAAGACGATGAGGAATCGGATGACGACTGGACTGACGAAGTCGATTGAAGCCTTGATAGAAGCATCGTAAGAGAGGGGCAGGTCTGAGGGACCTCCTCGAAGCGTATGCGTTGCAAAAGATTGTGGAAAGGTCAGCAGCTCTCAGCATAATCCAGGTGCATTAGCGACTTGCTAATAAGGTCTTGCGCGCGCGGCTCCACAAGTTCATGTGCTAATAGTAAAAATTATACCCATTGAGCGTTCAGAAAATTGTGCCTTAGGCACACATCATGTCGTTGCCCACTTTCGCAAACCCCTCATCTCCTGCTTCAGCATCACATCAATCACAGACTGCGTGCATGTATGTCTGTACCCATACCCCAGACTGATGATCCGTGCATCGCGAGGTCTCGAAGCCTTTAGGTGAGTGTGTTGTGTGCACGGTACACAGCTGGCATAGCCACGATGCGCAAACCTGCAAGAGGACATGCCAGGCACCAGTTTAACACGACGTCCCGCATCCATCAGCTGGCTCATCGTGTAACACGCGGACACTGAACTCATCCTTGCTCTTAGCATTCGATCGATCACACGGAAAGCGCGAATTGTCGCAGTCCAATGTCGCTCCAATACATCTCGGACTGTTCGGGTCATGCGTTTACTTACCTAACGCACTTACTTCGGAGCATCCAGATCTCTCGACACAACTACCAGGTTGCTAGACATGGCGCGCCATCGCTGATGTGTCTGCCTGACGATATCCTCTTGCTGGTTCTTGATTATGTAGAGGAAAGCACAGGACTGGACGGCAGCTTCCCAAGCGCTACAGAAGCAGCAAGCTCTCAAGATCTTGTCAGTCTTGCAATCTGCAACAGGCGCATGCGGACTCTGGCATCACCTCTGCTGTTCGAGAAGATCTGTCTCGGCCGCAGCTGGGGTCCGGAGCATATGATCGAGTCCTTGAAAGCGCTTCGACAATCAGAAGATGCCTTAAAGGCGGCACGAGAGCTACACATAGACCTATGGCCTGAGCCAGACCGCGCTGTGCCGCCGGGATTGCTCGACGAGCTGGGCTCGCTTCTGCTAGAATGTATGGCTTCGATGAACAGGCTCACAAGGATCTCGCTATCAACAACACCATCCTGCAGTGAATCAATGCGAGAGACTTTCGAACAAGCTGGCTCCTCCTACCCGCAGGTCAAAGAACTCGTTGTTGGTTCCCACTCGGGTTGGCTGATCAGCTATTGCCCGAACGTCGAAAGAATCTTTTCGGATGACTGGTTGGTAGAATCGCTATCTGGCCATAATCCACTACCAGACTTCCTGCAAGCTGCCGGCCAAGCCACTGAACTGCGAGAGTTTTCCTGCAACGCACTCTGGGATATCGAATCAGTGCAATTAGCGTACCAACACATGCCTCAATTGCGAAGTCTGGGTATACGCGGCCGCATCAGCCCACCGCTACAAGAAATGATTACTATTCTCAGGAAGTTCCGATATCTCAGGTCCCTAGCACTACCAGAGGCTAGCATGCTAGCAGGGCTGAACATCGGAGAGTGTTCCTTCGTCAACCTAGAGGATTCTGCTGCGCAAGCGAGCGCGCTTGTGACCATCTTTGAAAAGTTGCGCCGGTTGGAAGAAGTCAGATTAGGCAGGCACTTTCGCGCATGGACTAGCAGCGAGGCGCATCGCCCAGGGAGAATCACGTTACAGTGGGAAATGAATCCTGGCTTCACTCGTCTTCAGACTTTGTCCTGCAGTCGAGCCACTATACATTGGGAGACAGATGACGCTTCCAGTTTGACTACTATCGACGATGATCTGGAAGCCATATTGTCTACGGCGGAAGATTCGGCTTCAATATTCTCGCGAGCAGATACTCTAGCATTTTAATGTGTATATGTCCAATAATACTGATGGCGGGGCTTCCAGCGCTACCAATTAGTGACCTGTGCAGTATGAACGATACGACGTCCTGAGAGCGCCTTCGGCATTTTTCTCAGCAGTCTTGACATCTGACTTGGTGCCAGCGACTATGGCAATCGGGACCAGCATGATCATGATACCGAAGAACCACAGTATGAAAACTAGGCCCACGAGCGCTGAGCTGAAAGTGAATGTCGGGTAGAGGAGGGCGAGGAAGATGGCGATATCAACCAGTGCGGCGATTGCAACTTTTTTATGCACAGTCAGTATGGTCATCGACATCCTTTGATACCTTTAAAACTGTCCCAGAAGTGCGAACCAGTTGAGAACTACTAACCTTTGGTGCTCTGCGCCATGCTCGGCTTCTTCGTCTCCTTCTCGAGATGCTTCTGAACTTGGACTTCCTTGTATAGAATCCATCCGGCCTCATCGCCAAGGATGGAGCGGAAAAGATGAGGCGATTCAGCGCGAAGCTCCTTGCCCTTGCCCATTTTCCATTTTGCAGCAATTTGCTCAGCTTCTTTGTCGTCGGCGTAGTTGCATGTAATTAGAATATCGCGAAGAAAGGCTCGGACTACGTCGGAAGTGTCGTTCTCCTCTGGCAGGGTGAGCTGGGGCCGCTGTGTTTCTTCTTGACCAGGAATTAGAGGCGCTCCGGATTCAAGCCCGTCGACAGAGTAACGCGGCAGTGTCTGCTCGCTATCTCTGGGCTTCTCGTACATGGTTGAGCCGGAAGACTGGACCATCTTGGGTGTCTTATGTCGAGAGATTGCTGAGCGTAGATCTAAGCGAGCGGTCAAATAAAGAAATTAGCGTGGTGTGGAGGGAGTATAGCGAGGTGGGGGTGAAGGCAGCACTTGTATGAGATTCGAGTGTGGCGAAGCGCACGTGAGGCTGAGTACCTGATAACCTACAATGCCTTACTTCCGACCTTGCATCAGAAGAAGTGGGCATGTGGGGCGGGCTATGATCCTTCCGTAGTTCAGCAACTTAATACTGGTAATCGATATCGCTTATACTGCCGAAGCTCCATGTAGGCTCTAATAAAGTCTGGGGGTATATCGCAGGATCGCCGCAACGCCAACAACAGCCTATATTCTCCATTCCAGATCTTTATATGTTCTTCTTGCCAGGTTGTCCATCTGCGCTCTTGTTACCATCGAGCAGCGGTATCGCGTCGATGCTCTTGTTCCTCTGATGAAGTCCATCATCAATTTCTGTGCCCGGACTGTTGTACCCTTGTGCATCGGCTGGTGGACCCAGGTCGAGCGCGCTCGATGAGCCCACTCCTCCGCCCATCTGATTGCTGCCCGTGGGGCCAGCAGGGCTAGCCATTGGGCTGAAGGCAAGCCCATCCTGTCCCGTGATATCGGGCGATTTGGACATTCGCGCGACTTCTTTCCTCAGCTGGTCCAGTTCCTTCTCCATCCTCTTTCCAAAGACCTCAATGTAGAAATTAGCTCCGTTCCAGCTTGCCCAGCTGAAGACCAGCATCATGAAGCTAGCGCTTGCCCATCGATACCAGAACCAAAAGGGACATGGCAGCATAGTCAGAAGTGCATAGCTATACTGTATGAACATGAAGACTGTCTCCTGAAGGGACTCGGGGAAAGAAAGGACGAACTTTCCGAGAAAGTTGCCTTTGTAAGATTTGCGGAGCCAAGTGAACGACGTAGGACGACCTGCGGCGATCTTTGCTCGTTTTCGTACGGTGATGAGAAAATGGTAGGACAATTGCCAGATTGCGTAAGGCAGAGTCGCCCAGATAATCATATCCTTGAGGGTGTAGTGTTCCGGTGCATCTGAAGTCGAATACTTGATTGTGTGAATGGCCGGGAATCTCTGCAGCTGCAGTTCTTGAGGTATGCAGTGGACAAGAACGTGAAGCGTTGCACAAGGCATGATGTGGATGAACAACCTAGAGAATATTGATTAGCTCATTACAGAGGGAGAAGAGGGGAGAGAATGGCGTAGTGAGGGGTAGAAGGATGTAAAATTGTGCATACGTCGTCGTCTAGGCGGCGGTCAGTACGTGGTTCCCTTGTGGAGAACTTACGAGGTTACTTTGTCCAGGCTGTGAAAGACCAGACTATTCCTCCACATGGCGATCGCAACTGCATTATTGCCAAATGCCAGACAAAAAGTGCTGATCAGAAGGCGCTTTGACTGCGGGAAGAACCAGATGGACAGGATCAAGAGCATATTGACAAAGTAGCAAAGATCGGCAAGGAAGTAGTGGAAGCCAATCTTGTGGTACTTGTACCATCGTATGGGCATGAAGTAGCTGCGCAGCGTCAGTTCGATGGACGGCGGTGACAGCAGGGAGGGTTGCAACTTACACCAACTGGGCAGTGTACCAGTAGTGGAAGTACTCGGGTAAAGCACCTATGAGGTAGCCCGATATGAAGATATTCAGCACCGCAGTGACGAAGGATATCTTCTCCAGCAGGGATACCGTCTTGTTGTCGTGCCATCTTTTGTTGAGACGTTCGACCGACGCTTTCATACGTCTCCGATATTTGTCCAATTGTTCCTCTGGAACAGGCACCCTCTTGCGCCATTCGTCCACGACGACATTCTTGCTGGATAGGGCGCGGCGGGTCAGCTTCTGCCTCTGTCTACGCAACTTCTCAGCGTTGTCGTGGATGACGTTCTGCATGCGCTCGAGGCGTTGCGGTAATGCCAAGTTCTCCAGAATGTCGAACATGCTCAGGCGGTCCACACTGGGGTATTCGGGGTCAAAGTCGAAGCCACCATAATCAGCCTCTGAACTGCTCGTTCGCGACAGCCCTGGCGTGCCAGGCGTACTGGCTCCGCTTGGCGAGCCGCCTCCAGCGGTCAGATAGTCTTCAGCCTGTGGGCGAAGTGAGTCGCTGCTTGACCGCCCTGCAGCATCTTCGGCGGGAGGTTTGAGGTCCGCCATCTTTGCGGCCGCCGTTTCATCTGTTTCCTGCGTCATATCGAACGCGGCGGCTCGGTGCGTCGTCCTCTTCGGAGTCGTGATATCGTCCAGCCGGTCGTAGGCTTCCAGCTCGTCCTCGGGGATGATGTCGAGGTAGCTGCTGCGATGTCCTGCGTAGTAAGGCCTGCGCAACTCAGAGTGGTAGGTAATGGGCATGCCCCCAACGACACCGCCCCAGCAACAGGCTGCCCTCAGGCAATATGGTCTCCCGGTGCAAATCGGTCAGCACAGCGACAATTGCTTACGAGACGACGCGGGTTGTCGGGCGGAGTACACTGCGAGCGAGCACGCAAGCACGCGCAGTCGCAGGCTGACCGTGTCGCGCACCAGGCGAGTCGGCAGAGGAGCAAATGGGCGGGCGTGTTTGGTGCCCGTGTCGACGTCGACCGCCCGTACGTCACCGTCTGGAGAAAGCTGTCTCACCCTGGCAGCGCCAAGGCTACGCGTGAAGAGAGCGCGTCTCGTGTTTGCCCGCCGGACCCTGTGCTCGCGACACGACCTACCACACCACCACGCCGCCGTCTATACAGCCAACACCACCGCGTCGGGGCGTGCGCCGGACGTGACCCGCGCGTGACGAAAGCGCAGTCGATTTCGCCGTCTTCGCGCATCCTCCCGATCCGACACTCGCCATGGGCAAGCTTCTCGCCTTGGAGTTGTACAACTTCAAGTCCTACCGCGGCCACCATGTCATGCAATTCGGCGACAGCTACTTCACCTCCATCATTGGACCTAATGGATCCGGCAAGTCCAATTCCATGGACGCCATCTCCTTCGTGCTTGGCATCAAGTCGACTCATCTGCGTTCCACCCATCTGAAGGATCTGGTGTATCGCGGTCGTGTAATGAAGAACTCCAAGATCAACGCAGATGGCACGGTGGCTGAGGAGGGCACGAATGGCGTCGCGTCAGATGAGGAGGACGAGGCCGACCAGCCGCGAAGCCAGCGCAACGATCCACAAACGGCGTGGGTAATGGCTGTGTACGAGGATGATGCGGGCGAAGTCCAGAAATGGAAGCGCAGCATTACTGCCGGCGGACAGTCTGAGTACCGCATCAATGACAAGTCGGTCACGGCGAAAAATTACAATGAAGCCCTCGAGGCCGAGAATATCTTGATCAAAGCTCGCAACTTTCTCGTGTTTCAAGGTGACGTGGAAGCGATAGCATCGCAGTCTCCGAAGGACCTGACTCGGTTGATCGAGCAAATCAGTGGATCGCTGGAGTACAAAGCTCCGTACGAGGCACTGAAGGAGGAGAAGGAAGCGGCCGAGGCGGAATCAGGGCTGAAGAACGAATCGCGTCGTACGATCAATGGCGAGATCAAAGAATACCAGAAACAGAAGGCGGAGCTTGACAAGTATGAGCAAACCAGAGATGAACGCGATCAAGCTGTTGTGACACATGTCCTCTGGAAGTTGTTCCATTTTCAGCGCGCGATCGAGTACAGCACTGCCGAGATCAAAAAGCACCAAGCTGAGCTGAAAGAGTTTCGCCGCAATGTGAGGCAGTTCGAGGGCAAGCTAGAGGCCGCAAGATCAGAGCAAGCCAAGGTTGGGCGCGAAGTTGGCAAGTGCGAGCGCGACATCAAGCGTCGGCAGAAAGATGCCGAGGAGCAAGAGCAGAAGCTGGTTCCAGTGGACGAGAAGCTCTCGATATACAGCAGGAACATTCAAAAGTTCCAGACGAGGATCGATGAGATCACGCAGGACCGAGACCAGCAGCAGGCGTCTGCTGAGAAGATGCAAAAAGAGCTTGCCGTGGTACAGAAAGCGCAGAAGCGATGGGAGGACCAGTGGCATGCTGAGCAGCAGAAAGCCGGGCGTGCACTCAGTCCGCAGGACTTACAAGAACTCGAGCGGCTCAAGAAAGAGGTCTACAAGCGGACGGGCAGTGTTCAAAACAAGATTGAGAACATTATACGCCAACTGAAGACTGACGAAGAAACTGCAAATTCGCTGAAGTCCAAAGTGGACAGCACTGCAGCACTTATCGCTAATCTTCGAGAGGACATTGCGGAGCTGCAACAGCACCGCAGTGACACGAACCAAAAGATGAAGTCCACGAGCAAGGAGATTGCGGAGAAGAAAAAGGCTATCAACATGCTGATCAGCGACCGCGATCGAACTGAGCAGAAGAGACGAGAGCTGGACGAGAAGCTGCAACAAGTGCTCAGCAGGTATGCTGAAGCACAGGGTTATCAACGAGAGACCAGGAAAGAAGCCGATCAGCGAGCCATGGTTGCAGAAATCCGACGAATCTACCCGGGAGTCAAAGGACAGCTTGGTCAATTGGTTCGGCCGAAGCAGAAGAAGTACGAGACGGCAGTGTCCACGGTGCTAGGTCGACATTTTGATGCGATCATTGTCGACTCCGAGAAGACGGCGCGCGAATGCATTCAATACCTCAAGGAACAGCATCGAGGGCAAGCGACGTTCATTCCACTCGATACGATCATTCACAAACAAGCCAATGCGAATCTGCGCGGCATGCATCCTGGTATGAGGTTGGCGATCGACACCATCGATTTCGACACAAATTTGGAGCGAGCACTGAGCTTTGCATGCGGCAATGCAATCGTGACCGATACCATTGCCATCGCCAAAGAACTGGTGTACAAGCGCGGTGTGGACGCCAAAGCTGTCACCCAGGACGGCACAGTCATCCACAAGGGTGGCAACATGACCGGTGGTGACGGACCTGGTGGCAACAAGCGACGATTCGACGATGCTGAGATCTCGAACTTGGAACAGCTGATCGCCAAGTTCAGAGGCGACCTCGACGCGCTGCCCAAAGGGCATAAGCGTCAAGCAGAAGAAGAGCAGCTTGGTACGGAGCTTGCACGCCTAGATACCAAACAGAAGTACGCACAAGAGGAGCTAAAGACACTCGATCGAAACATTGAAAGCAAGTCGAAGGAATTACAACATCTCGAATCTCAGCTCGAAGAACTCCAGCCAAAATATCAGGAACAAGCAGAAGGCGTTGTCACCTTGCGTGCGTCCTTAGGCGAGCAAGAGGAAACAGTGGCCGATGTCGAAGACGAGATATTCGCAAACTTCTGCCAGCGCACTGGCTACGAGAACATCCGAGAGTACGAGAAGCAGAATGGCGCGCTTCAAGAAGAGGCTCGCCAGAAAGAACTCGAATTCAAGAAGCAGACTTCGAGGCTCGAGAACCAACTTGTTTTCGAAAAACAGAGACTCCAATCGGCCGAGGCCCGACTGCAGTCGGCAGAGGCCGCCGCAAAGCGTGACAAAGATCAGCTCGCATTGCTGCAGGGGAAGAAAGATGAGATCGCTGCTGAGCTCGCTCAGATCAACGAGGACATCGAGGAGCTGGAAGCACAGCTTGGTGAGCTGAAGAAGTCGTTCGATGAGCGTGGCGAGAAGGTTCAGGAGGCTCGGCGCGAACTACAGAAACGAAGCAAAGGTCAAGAAAAGACCTTGAAAGAGATTTCTGAGCTCGACGCGGACGTGCAGAAAGCCGCCAGTGGTCGCTATAGTCTGCTGCGAACATGCAAAGTCGAGAACATCAAGGTTCCGTTGGAGCGGGATAGTCGCAAGATTGATGCTCTTCCACTGGAAGCCGAGAGTCTCGACGATGACGACGACATGGACGTTGACGAAGACGAGGGTGCTGCCACCACCAGATACAAGGACTACGGCATACAGATCGACTTCACGCAGCTCGACGACGACCTTCAGGAAGATGGCAGCGACGACTGCGAAGCCCAACTCTCGGAGAAAATCAATAATCTTTCATCCGCTCTGGACAAGATGGCGCCGAACATGCGCTCAGCAGATCGTCTCGAAGCGACGAGTACACGCCTCAATGCAGTGCAGAAAGACTTTGAAGATGCGAAGAAGGCCTCTGTTACGGCAGTGAAGAAGTTCAACGAAGTGCGCAAAAAGCGCAGTGACCTGTTCAACAAAGCTTTCCAGCACATCTCCGAGCAAATCGGTTCCGTCTACCGCGAACTTACCAAGACTCCATCTTTCCCACTTGGTGGTTCGGCCTCTCTGGACGTAGAGGATGAAGAAGAGCCGTATCTCACTGGTGTCAAATATCACGCTATGCCACCTCTCAAGCGATTCAGAGATATGGAGCACTTATCTGGAGGTGAAAAGACGATGGCGGCCCTGGCATTACTTTTCGCAGTCCACACATATGCTCCCTCACCCTTCTTCGTACTCGACGAGGTGGATGCTGCGCTGGACCACGCAAACACGACGCAGCTTGCACAATATGTGCGAGAGCATGCCGGGCCGGGAATGCAGTTCGTTGTCATTTCGCTCAAAACTGGACTTTTCCAAAACAGTGAAACTTTGGTCGGTATCATGAGAGACCAGAGCAAGAATAGCTCGCGGCCTTTGACACTTGACGTAAGTCTCTTGATTCTCTCACGCTTTAACGACTTTGCTAACGCCTTTCCAGCTTCGCAAATATCAGGTAGCCTGATCCACTCTCTCAAAGACGTATGAGAACGGATTCTCTGCAGAAATAACAAGCAATCCTGCGAATCGGACCTTCGTGCAGACCCAGTGATGCCCCAGCTTCCGGCTTGCTGGTGCCGAGCGATAGCGACAGAAAGCGGTGGCCGGGCTCTGGATGCGAGGTGAAGGTGCAGGATGAAATATCTGCGCAAGTCGCGTGGTCCTGAGCTGGACTCCGTCAGTACGATGAATCATGTGCTGCGTGTGGTTGACGCAGGTAGATGTAAGAAGACGGCGATTTCGCGAATAGTGGCGAAGTCATCATTTTCGGTAACGAGAGCTGGATGCTTCGTCCAACGTAATGATCAATGTTGAAGTGAGCCGATGCGATGATTCTATTCTTCAACGAACTTGTGCCTGTAATCAAAAGAATGAGGACCCGATGCTGAATTCATTTTATGCACTTTTCCATTCTTTGCCATTGGGTGTAGACACGTTGGAACTCCACCCACATCAAAGAGTTACGATGCCTGGGGTCACGCGATCTGTTCAAGGGCAAGACAGTGTGTCTTACATTGTTTAGCTCAAACGAACTACAATTTTGGCCGCGCGGATGCTCCCTGATCCAACGAGCTAATTACTTCGGTGGTAGGATCCTGCCTCTGCATTCTCCAAAGCCTAGTTGCACCTTGCCTTCCGCGTTCTCGCACCATCCTTCTAGTATGATCTCGTCTCCGTCCTCGATATAGCCGTCCTCGTAAGCCGACGAAGCTATCTTTGGTGGCATGACGCTGGTCTTCGTCCTTTCGGCCTCGTATAGGCAACCAAGCTCAGCCATTTCACCTTGCTCATTCCGACCAGAACCTGATATCGTTCCAGTTCCAATGAGATCGCCAGTCTGCATACCACAGCCGCTGGCGGCGTGATGAACGAGCTGTTGATATGGAGTCCAATACAAATACTTCAAGTTACTCGTGCTGAGAACCTGCGTCTCGCCATTTCGCACAAGCTTGACTCTCAATTTAATGTCAAGTGCGCCATCGTCCTTACCGGCCCAGGTCAGATGAGGAAAAGGCGGCGGATCCTGAACAAGATGTGGTGTTGTCCCAAAAGGCTCCAGAGCTTCCAATGGCACTATCCAATTCGATATACTCGTTCCGAAGCCTTTCGAATGAAAAGGACCGAGAGGTCGCATCTCAAAAAGTTGATGATCCCTCGCGCTCCAATCATTTAGCAGGACAAAACCAAAAATGTGCTCCTTTACGTTTTCGATTGCCAAGGTCTCGCCGAAGGGTACCGGTTTGCTGACATAAAAGCCCATCTCCAACTCGAAATCAAGCTTCTTAGAGGGCCCATGTACCGGCTCTGAATCAATACCATTTGACCAGGCAACATTCTTCGGACGGTGAATGTCCGCAGGTGTAGACACGATGGAGCTTACCCGGCTGTTGTAGACAGAAGGTGCGTGGAACCAGTTCTTGTAGATATTCTTGGACGTTAATTCGCCTGAGCAATTCTTGCAATGGTCGAGGCTCGTGTAGAAATCTGAAAAGCCTTTTGTCTGCATCGGCAGGTGAAGAATGGCATCTTGAAGGCGTACCAGCACTTCGGCAGGTACCCGCTGTGCCTCCAGGTCGTCCTGTAGCTGTAGACGAACTTCCTTACGAACGTCCCATGGTAGTTCAGCGAACGCATTTAAGGCGGATTGGCTGAAGATCTCCTTGAGGTTTATACCATATGCCTCTTCAATTCGCTTCAATGTGCCATTCTGAGCGTATTTGGCGAGGTCAATAGCATGATGACCAATGGCAACTGCGGTTCGGGGCTGCGGCTCGTCCGGAGTTGATAATACACCGTATGGCAGGTTGTGTATTGTGTACGGCGCCTCGTCAAGCTTAAGTTCTGTCATTGTTGTATCGTTGCTCAGAAAAATGGAGCGTCGAATGTATGGTGTCGGTGAGTACCTCGAGGCTTCCACGATCGGCCCCGCAAACCTCGGACTCCGAAGGCGGGCTTGCATAGACCAGGAAGTCCACGCAATAAGCACTCTGTGATTAGTATGCATCGCATCAAGAGACAGCTACCGCATTTGCCAAGGGTCCATATGCGAACGCCAGAGATGCTGCCAGTCGCCTGCGCGGCCAATGCGATCTTGCTTGCTTCGTTTACGCCGTCTTCCGTTTCCTCTGCCTAAAAGCACGAAGTTCCTTTAGTCCAGACATAAGTAACGGTACTGCCATTGGGCCAAGCAAAGGCACATAGACAGCGACCTTATGTTCTTCTGGGAAGTAGACCTGCGATATCATGCTTGGCGAGAAAAACGCTCCTTCGACCTGCTGTTCAGCGATACGAGCGTTGGCCAACGCACTTTGGAAACGGCCTTGTCGCAAGTCATCGCATGCCAAATCAAGTCGATTAAGTGTTTCATCAACTGAGGTGGCGACTGAGTCCGGAATAGCAATGGATGTGAGCTTGAGCGTGAGCCTGGAAAGAGCACCCAGCGTCGACGAGGCAGACTGAATAAGCGACGTTGTTCTCTCGCGGGTCAGACTGGCAATCTTCAGGGACAGAGAAGGTGGCGATTGCGGGACACCCAGGAGCGCTGTTAGCTGGTCTGCAAATATGACCATGTCCGATCGCAGGTCGTCAAGACTGAGCTCGCCTGACAATCTGCTTTGATCATTGTGAATCTGTATTCCGCCCCATTGAGGAATGATCCAACTAGTGCCAGCATCATCTTCGATAATTAGAGGACTCTTATCAGGGGCCGGGACGTAAAGCACGAAATTGATTGTTGGACCAGCTCCAATACTGGGGTTCAGTGGCCATTCAGCCGCGTTCACGAAGCCAGTGAGATCACTTGCACTCAAGATCCACGCTTTCTTGGCGTCGTCGTAAACAGGTCCGGCTATCGATGGGCTGGAGGAAGCATATAGTTGCACTTGTGTATCGATGGTGAAGTTACTGATCGATGATAGGGACTGTAGGAGAGGCGAAACATATGCTTGCAAGGCTTCGTCGACTGACCATGCCGAAGGGGTCGCGCCTGGGGTGAACAACGAGAAAGTGATATGGTAGCTCGGGGCAGCCTTGAATGCACGCGTGGTACGACTGTCCAGCCTTTGCTGTTGAAAAGGATCAAGTTGGCCGGAGACTCCGCCCTGGGCGAATTTGGTTCCTCTGAGCAGGTACTCGAGTGAGACACTTTCATCCCAGAACACCCGAGTTATCTCTTGCGCAATGAACGGCGCGACTTCGCCTATGTTGACTGGCGGTTGAAGGTCCAGCTTGACATCTAAGACCGGCTCCCATGACCGCAGCGACACCCTCGACGCCTTGTCAGATTCGAGAATGACTGTCAATGCAGAGTCGTGTGCTGTCACGTTGGAAGTAGAGACGGCGAATCGATGTAAAGGCAGCTCCTTTTGTGCATTCAGCACAGTCTCGATGTTCGCAGCAAGTGCCAAGGCTTGCTGCGATGTCATTACGCTAGGAGCTTGCAGTTGGATGTTCATCGGATACTGCAATTGGCAAGCCTGGCGGTGTCAGTTTGAGCTTCTAAGCAGTGCTCTGGCAGATCTCACAGTTCCTTCTGCCCACGCATTCATGGCCTCTAGCGGCAGCGAAGATCGGGGTATCGAAGTAGTCCATGTCCAGTGCGGAAGCCCGAAGAGCACTACGACAGCCCAGAAGGCGAGTATGACCAGACGTCGTGTCGTTATCGCACTGCGGGGCTCTGACGGCAGCTCATGGGGAACATCATCATCAGCTGCAGTCTTGTTCCCGTCCATCGTGGCCGTCGACTTGGTGGTTGTTGATGCTGAGACGCGCTTCCACGCTGCGGACGTGGCCACAGGGAGGTGAAGGGTGCTTGGCAACTGCTTCGGAGGGACTTCGGAACGGCGCGACTTCCCTTCCTTTTGCACATGCGCCTAGCCACACAACACAATGCCGCTCACCTTGTTGACACACCATGTCGGTCAATAAGACTGGTGACAGTCACACAGATCAATCAGGCGAATGTTTCAAATGTTGTTAGGGTGACTGGAGATGCCTCCCACATTTTGCACAACTGCCCAAATTCACATGTGGACTCGTCACCAACTTCACGTAGCACCTAGCACGAGTTGTTCTTCACTTTCATCACTCACACACGCTTTGCCAGGCTAACGAGTGTAAACTTCACATGCTTCGAATCTCCCAATTCACCTACCGCGTCCTCACCATAAAACTCCGCCTGCAGTCCGCTCAGATCTTCTTACTCAACATCCTCTCCCACTTGGCTCTAACTTCACACGAAGTCGAGCACCATGGCGAATCGCATGGACTTGTTCCTCGAGATGATCGGCGGTGAGGAGGCACTGCCGCGGAAACTGACACCCCCTCCACCAGAAGAGAAAGAAGAACCCGAACGACCGAGCTCCATCTGGGACACAGATTACCAGACCGAAATGTACCTAAATCTACCACGCGCTCCTGGAGTGACAGAGGAGCTGGTGCGCTTCAACTACGAATCGCGCCCGAGACCTTTTTATTCAGGACCGTCTTCAGGAACGTCTCCAGGAAAGTCTTCAGGAACGCCTTCCGGCACGTTGAGCGCTGACGTGAAGGTTCCGTTCGATGTGAAGAAGGGTGAGCGCCTTCCCGCTGGGACTGCCTTGTCGCCCTTCATCGCAGTCACCAAGTACTGCTACAAGTACGTGCCGAAACAGTGGTCGCAGACGCTCGCGACTGCTTTCTTCGACCAGGACAAGATCTATGATCGTGAATGGGACATGTGAGTGCTCGCATTTTCACATGCAACTAACTTTGACTTTTCCTTGGCTGACAGCAAACAGCTACTACATCACGACCCACTCGCACGGCCTGCACACATTTGTGCGCGTCGACCAGTTCCAAGAGCTCATCGACCAGATCAACGCCAAATTCCAGGACGCGAACATCGCCATCGACGACTGGCAGCGGGAGAACGGCTTCGTGCTTGACTTCACCGATCTGCCTGACAACCTGCAGCCGCGCTTCCTTGGGCGCTGCACATCGCGCGCGACCTATCTATCCTGGGTCGCAAAACTACAACACGAGCCAAACATGGTCTTGTCTACCGTGCCGACCAGCGATCGCAGCGCTGAAGCCTTCAAGGCGAGACTTGACGCCGCAGCCGCGTTGTCGAAGGCGAAGCAGAAGTCGAACCGGGCGAAGAAGCATGCCGAGATCTTAGTCAAGCGACAGGACATAGTCAGACAGGCAATTCGAGGCCAGCAGTACTTCGGACTGCGCCCAGCGAACGACACGGAGTTGACGTCGCCGGAGGTCGCCAGCCCGATCGCCGCCGACAAGCCTGCACCGTACGCATTCGACCGGGAGCCAGTCCTCATCGCTCTCGATTGCGAAGCCTTCGAGCGCCCTCCGCACATGATCACTGAAGTCGGCCTGGCGACACTGGACACGCGTGATCTGAAGGGCGTGGCGCCTGGCGAGAATGGGAAGAACTGGCACCAATTCATTCGCGGCCGCCACATTCGCGTACTCGAATATCAGAACTACAAGAACTCGGATTTCGTACAAGGCTGCTCCGGTGCATTCGAGTTTGGCAACAGCGAGTTCGTATCCAAGAACTCCGTCGCCAGCGTCCTAGCAGCATCCTTCCAGGAACCTTTCTCAGGACCGATGAAGCCGGACCAGTTCCCATCTCTTCCACCCCCTGGCCGAAAAGGCGCATTCAACCCAATCAACAGTAGTGCTTTAACCAACACGGGCGAGTTGCGCAACATCATCGTCGTCGGCCACGACCTAGCAGGAGACGTCAAATACTGCGAACAGCTCGGCTTCCACATCTTCAACCGCGGAAACATCATCGACACCCTCGATACCGTCGATCTCTTCAAGCAGTACATGCGAGAGCCAAACCCCCGATCCCTAGGCAGTATCCTTGCTCATTTCGATCTGGCCGGTTGGTTCCTTCACAACGCTGGCAACGACGCCATGTACACCATGCAAGTTCTGCTGGCCATGTGCGTCAAAGCTGCTTCAGAGAACGGCACAGAAGCCGAAGCACAGAAGGTTCAGGAGAATTTCGAGAAGAGATTCGAAGAGTCGATGGAGATCGCCAAGGAGCGGGCTCAGGGTGATGCAGAGGGCTGGGATCTCGTTGGTGAAGATGTCGGTGTTGCGAAGAAGCCGAATCAGTGGGACTTCCAACCGAAGCCGAAAGATCCAAAGGGACGCGATCGTCAGAGTGGTGGTGGATTGTACACTATGGGAGGCGCACCTCTCGACGTCTAAGCGAATCTTGGAAGTTCCTCGACAAAGGACAACCGTGTCGCAGCCAGGGCTTGCAGTGCAACCGTGCCTGGGCATGGAGAGTGAGGAGACCTCACCGTCCTTTCGGCAAAGTGGTGCTTTTGGCGTTTGCCTTTGTATGATAATATGATCATTCGACCTGGCCCCGCATAGAGCGGGCAGATAGGAGTCGCCATGATTTGGCTCCGACGTGTACCCAACGCGGGCGGGCGCATGGAGTGGGCACTAGTCCAACGCAATGCAGCACTAGGACTAGCTTTGCGTATCGAGCACAGGCCATTCCCAATATCTCTCTCATCACCTCCCACTAATGTGCCTTCATCACTATTTCATTTACATCTCGCGGAACATTCCCTCATCTTTCCCCATGTTCTGGGCATCTTCTGAGCACCCACTTTTCCCAGTACTTGCGCTTTGTGTTATCCACTCTCAAGCCGTCGTCGTCAAGCTGGTCGGCAGATTCCAGACGACCACCGCCACCGCTACATGTGCACCATGGAGCGGAACCTGGAGTATCCGGGGAATGTAGAGCAGGAAAGTCGACTTCATGCGCTTCGGGTCCATGTTCGTCGTCTGAGTCTAGATCACTGTCCTCGTCGAATTGCGATTCTGTTGAGTCGTCAGAATCCGTTTGGTCGGTATTGCTTGGGCCTGCCATAGGTGGAACGTCTTCGTCATCCGTATCCTCGTCGCTGCTGCTCTCAAGGTCTGCTAGGGGAAAGTCGGGCAGTTCGGTACCGAGATCCTGCGTGAATTGTTGCGAATGATAGTAAGCGGTGTAACCTATTCGCCTTAGGCTGACCCATTGCAGCGCCAGCATGTCTGATCGTAAAAAGCCCAGGATGTCTTTCCATAAGCTGCCTTGTTTGAGATGCACGTCTCGTAATCTCAGACCTTTCAGGTTAGGATGTCGTTTTGCCAATCCAATGATCTCAGACTCGTCCAGTTCCCAGCCTTGTACTCCGAAAGCCACCAGCTTCTCCCATTTCACATAATGGAAAATGCTTTCGAGCGGCAACGTAAGTGGCCTGTGTGAAGGAAATCCAACGTGGACAGCCTTCATATTCCGTGCTTTCGTGAACACTTCCTTGAACACGACTGACAATTCCTGAATCTTGGCATCGAGATCTTCATTGTCGTCAAAGTGTAGAGTGAGCACCTCAAGTCGCTCTGCCAAGGTTGAGACAGAGTTTGGTACTTGGAGCCTCAAAAACCGTGCGCTGTCCGGACTCAGGATCGGCAGACTGAACCTTGACCATGGCACCTCGTTCGACGTGAGCAAAGCTGTGATTATGGTCCGTGATGCATGAGAGCATGCAGCATTCCAGCTAAGGTTCAGCCTCCGTCTGGCGTCCTCGTGTCTTCGGAGATAGTTCAACACGATGCCATCTTCTCTGTCTGACACTCGCAAGAGTTGTACAAGCTCAAGTCTTGTGAAGCTTGCAATTGCACGTTTGAGAATTCGGACATCGTCTTTCCTGGTGCAAATAGTTCTCTGCTCGGTTTCCTTTCGACGTAAATTTCCGATCTCAGATTTGCCGAGACCGAACTGCTGCAGCTCTTCTGTCAGGCTGTCTAAATCATGTGCATCTGTATCACGTCAGCTAGGGAATTTTCTACACGCCGAACGACTGACCATCTTCGTAGAAGTAGGGCACCAGATATGTGAATCGTCTGACCTGAGCTGCAAGATGGCTCCATTCCGCCAGCTGCTCTAACCGTTTGAGACCATCCTCGGAAAATCTGATCGCCACCCGGGTGAAGAGTAATGGTTCACCAATCTGCGCAAACCTTTTGCAAACACTGCGAAATCTGCCGACGTCTGCTACTGAACCGCGAGATGGTGCGGGTGCGGGCTCAAAACTCTCGACACTCAGATGCCTTCTTTGCGCGATGTCGACTTCTCGCTCGTGGTGTCCCGGCTCGACGAAGCTGAGGATTCTTTCGACGAGTTCCGTGGGCAATCGTGCAATTCCACCGCCACTCATGCTGAGGCTTGTCGACGAAGCTCATGCAGGCCCCGTTGCTCAGACCAGATGGCCTGCCCTGATGCTTGATCCTCGCGCGGTCTGGTCAAAGGCTGGAGGCTGCTGCAAGTCAATCGTGTCTACTTAAGGTCGCGTGAGGTAGAAGGGGAACAGCGGAGGACCAGGAAATGGACGAATGACATGACGAAATCCGAGCTGCATGGAGAGTCGGCGTCATGCTCGCAGGAGAGGATGAAGCAAACTATGTACCGCACGGAAGCCACGACGAGTGGCAGTCATCAGGCCCTCACCAATGAGAGCAGCTGGCCGGTAGCTTTAGCTGGTCAGGTGAGCCAAAGGCGATGCAGCTATCCGCTCGGAAGAGGGCGCGGGACGCAGCCTCTGCGGCGAAGAGGCTGTCCAGGCCAAACCATCATCGCCTGCGACCCTTGATCCTGGCTGACATGCGCTGGCATCTGCTGTCGAGTGCGCCAGGCTCGATGACAGTGGAGAATTCCAAGGTTGGCATGCAGTAGCTCACTTGCTCGAAACTTGCGGGCCTCGAAGCCGGATGCGCGTCACCCGCAATGGTGCGCGATGCGTTCCGTTTCGTCACGATTGGACAGGCTGCCGTTGCATGACATGAAGCCAGTCGCATTCCTTCGCAGCAATACTGCCATGGCATAAAGCACCGCACGCGGCGTCGTCTTCGACAGCATCCGTGGCTTGGAACCACCGCTCGCTACACATGCGTTGTCGGTGGCGATTGGCGTCGTCCAACGCCCGTGTCGTCAACTCGCGCCGAGCGGTGAGGTCGTCCACTTCGCACCTTCTGGGATCGCATTGCATTGCATGCCGCACGCCGCCGCTGCATATTGTGACGAGTATACAGTGCCGACCGGCGCCATGAGCGGAGTGCACTCCTCTGCGCGACCTGTCGTAACACCGGTAACCGAGCAAGTAGAGACGTTCCACGTTCATCGCAAGCGACGTGGGACAAGAAGATTGCAAGTCGAGGTTCGAATGGAAGTCGGGACATCGGTGCAATGGCTGCTTCGCTGCCGGTCGGTTCACAGCAACCGCGACCTAGCCAGCCACAAACTCTACTGGGTGTTCATGCACGCTTGACATGTAGGCACACTGATACAGCTGTGCAACTCCGGTCGTATGCATCAATGGCGCAAGATCTAGTGGCCACTAACTTCAGCCTTCTACACCGCATTGCCGAGCGTCGTTCGCACTCGAGAGTTGTGCATGCATTCAACCTGGCCAGCCTGGCCAGCGACCATGCGACTTATACGGGCTACGAGATTACATTTTGCCTTTTCTTGCCAACTTCTCCCGAATTGCCGTGCTGCTAATCTTGCTGTCGAATCCCTCCTTCGAAGTACCTCCTTCGCCATCCTCATCCGCGTCGAGCACATCGACCTCAAAAATATCAAGTTCCGCCCATCCCTGTTCGCGCCGCTTGTCATTCACAGCTTTCCCTCCCGATCTCGTCTCTGCACTGAGCACGAGGGCAGATATCTCCTCTTTCGTAATCGTGGGGCCGAAGGGATCTTGAATTTCCGTGCATTTGACAATCAAGCCGCTGGGGTAGTGGATGTCGATCGATTTGCCATTAGGCCCAGGATCATCTTGAATGCTCGCGTGCCGCTGGCCTCTGGTGGCAGGTGTTGAGAAATCGACAATCGCGTTGAAGAACGTCGCGACTGCCTTTTGACGATCTACCCAGCTCTCCACCAGATTTGCATGCTTCTTGTTCACCAGTAATTGATCTCCAGTAATACCAATCGTTGCCGAACGCTGTTCAGAGGCATCTCTCACATCAACCGCGAACATGGTCATTGTTATGAGCAGCTTGTGGCCAATGTGAAGATGATCCCACGTGCCACCAACAGCGACATCGTAGTGTTTCTGGTGTTTTGGTTGCCCTGGCGCAGTGGCCTTGACATCATGCTCCGAGGCCGATACTGTTTGAGCTGGTGGATCGTTGTGAACGCGCTCGACATCGATCTCGGCCCCTTTCATCTGAACAAAGGCCCTTACCATGTTCTCGCCTGCCTCGGACTCTACGCCAAAGGCATACTGCCATTGACGAGCAGATTTGGCTAGAGTTTCGAGATCAATCACAGGTCCATAAGGTTCCCGTATGCGTTCTGAACTTGATGCGTCAGGAGACCATGCTACCAAGATCACCCTGGGGTCAACGCCTTCAGCATCTTCGATGTTGACGTTTTCCTGCGCAGCTATCACAGTGATGAGCTTGTAAACGCCTGCCACCAGCGATTGAGTCTGATCATATAGACTAGATCGTGGTGCGTACTGTGCGCCGACAAGATGCGGACAGGCCAATGCAATCTCTAACACTGAAGCTTTAGGATGATCGGCGGAGTGACCTGCGACTTCTTTGAGCACTTGACTGATGGTATCCGCATAAGCCGTTTTCAGCGCGGAGGCATCTGTTGATGATGGGACCGGTGGCAGCAACAAGAGAAAGCGAGGAGGCTCTCCAACCTCAGGAACATCCATGGGCCCGGTTGTTGCGGCTCAGCCTGAAGATGGCACTCGTTGCAGTGGCTTCTTCGCACTTTTCCGCAAGGAGAGAACCAGAATGGCTTGAGTAGCTTGAGTATGCTGCTCAGTGCGCAGATTTCCGAAGCTTTGTATCTTGTTCCTCCAAGTGAAGAAGAGCTGAGTGCCGAGGAAAGTGAAGAAGAGACGTGTGATTAGCACTGACGGTATGCTCCTTATCGTGGCGCTAAACGTGTACCACCGCTGATCAAATGCCATCAGCGGACGCGATCTTGTGACATATGCATCTTCGCGTGCGACCTACTCACCATCAACACCGTATGCATCTTGCCCATCATGCGCGTGAGCTAATGTGTTATACTGTTCTACCGTTGATCATAGATCCTGCGACTTGTCTACATCGCGCTCTCAGACAGCGATATCCCTCAGATCGCCAGTAACCATGTCTGCCAGCAAATCCTGGAGACCATCTACATCTTCGAGCAAGAGCCGAGTCTTGTCAACTTCGAGTCACGAGCTCCCACGATGGCGTAGCCCTTCTCCTTCCGCATCGATGATCCCGCCGCCTATCGTGCAAAGCCGGTACATAGCACCAAAGGAGACAGTCGCCGAATCTGTATACGTAGAAAAACCAACCGAAATTGAGGACAAGCAGCAAGACATCGAAGCCGATCTCCAGTTCCTGCTCGATGCGCAAGCTGAAGGTCTAATACGAGGGCTAGAGGGACGCTCGGGGGACAATAAGAGCTCCACGGGAAGCTCAACGCCTACGGTGCACAGCGTACCAGGATCCATCGCGAGAAGAGCACGGCGGCCGGCTCGACGACAGCCAGGGCTTCGAAGCGCTCGCAAGGGCATCTACAACAGCATTGTTGCATTGGCAAACCTCAAGAACGAGGAGCTCACAGACATTCGCAGCGAGGTCAGAGAGACAGAGGGAAACCTCAGGCAGATCGAGACATGGGAAAAGAAGCGGGCCGGTCTACTTGAAGCATCAAGTCGCGTGGACTCGGAAGAAGAGACGGTGCGCGTACAGCGGCTCAAGCAAGAGGCAGACACATTACAAGCCGACATCAATCAAGTTGAGCTGAGTCTCGTAGAGATGAAGAGCAAGCACCGCAAGCTCATGAGACAAATCGCTGCTGTGGAAAATGCTGTACAGGCTCGTATGGCATCGTACACGGAAAGTCTGCGACTCCTCGAGAGCGACGTGGATAAGTTCCTACGCGTCAGTCCAGACAGCTCAAATGGAAGAACAGCATCTCCCGTGGCAGCAAAAGCATCGGTCTGGCAGTTACCACCTCAACGCAGGAATCTTGACCTAGCGAAAGAGTACTGGTGTGAACGTCGCGAGCAGGTAGATCACCGCAAGAAGGACATTGAGTTCGAGAAGTCCGCTCTCGTCGAAGGCGCAGAGCTATGGCGGCAAGCAGTCGTAGAGGTGACCGAATTCGAGAAGCAGCTTCGCGCTGAGATGGCCACTCTACGACCATCATCGCCTAATTCGCAATCGGCCTGGGAGGATCCTCCTAATATGAACACTGATCACGCTGAAGGCATGCAGCAGGTACTTGACAAAATCGATACAGTCGCGGAATCACTACACGCGAAGTTGCAAAAAGCTGAAGAGAACAACTGGAAGCTATTGCAAGCTGCTATTGGCGCTGAGCTTGATGCACTCAGTCGAGGGAAACAGATCATCGCTAGTGCTCTCACAGCGGCTGACGATAGAACGGTAGAAACAGATGACCATGATCTGCGAAAGGGAGACACAGGCGAAGAGATCAACGCGCTGGATCAAAGCTTCGCAACAGCACGACATATAGATGAAGAGGATGAAGAGCCGCCGCCTGAACTACTCTTCTCTCAAGCCCGTGATATAGACACGGAATGAACGCTTATCCATCTTCTCCCTAAGTTCTTGCCATGTTGTCAGTGAATTCTTGGCGCTCCCGCAGCTACGCAGCAGCTGCATCCGCCACAGCGCGGGACCTCACCTTCGAGTCCAACGGCAGCTGTCCCGGCCAACACCACAATCCAACAGAACTTGCAACGCTAAGGCCGCACAGAAGATGCCGATCGGTGAGAGCAACGGTGGTCAAGAGCAACGAAACTGCTGAGCCATGGCAGAAGCAACATACTCGTTCACGATCCCGTCTGCGCACGACGATACCAACCTTGAATGTCGCATCTACCATCCACGCAACCTCCAAGATCTCCTCATAAGCAATGATTCCAAACCTCGGATTGCAATTGTAGCACATCCTTATGCACCCTTGGGAGGCACATACGATGACCCAGTCGTGCTATCCCTCGCCGAATGCCTCCTTCGGGAAAGCTACATCACCGTAACTTTCAATTTCAGGCAAGTGCAGTGCCTGAACACGGCAATCGAGCTACAACACTGACAACTTCGACAGAGGCGCAGGAAAATCAGCAGGAAAGACATCATGGACGGGCAGACCAGAAGTAGACGACTACGCATCCGTCGTCGGGCTTGCAATTTACTACTTCAGCAACATTTGCACGCCTCCTGGGCCCGACATACTATCTGCTAAACACGCAAGCCTCGATCCCAGCTCCCTCTACAGAGACCACGCGACCTCAAACGGCCCCCTCGAGCTATTGCTCGCGGGCTATTCCTTCGGCTCGTTGATCCTGTCTCGCCTGCCAGGCGTGCCCGCGATCTTGCAGCGCTTCGAGACCGCAGAAAGAGGCACTGCAGCTTCCGAAATCTTCATGCGGGCTCGAACGCTTGCAAAACAAACCAAGCAATCGATTGAGGTCGCTCAGAGTCCGACTTCGCCAAAAACAGTCCGTGGTCGACGACCTCGCCATGACGACTCTCCGACAAAATTGCAATCCTCGGTGGTTGTTGGAGGTGACGAGCTTGACGCATCAGAGCGTCGACGAAGCCGCGATTCGCGCACAAGCGTAGACGTGATGCGAGATATGCCGCATAACATCAAGCACCACATGCGTAGGCATAGCGGGCATTCCCGAAGACCCTCCTTGGAACGAGAGAGCAATACACCGGCAAGCACTTCTAAGCTCGCTGGCGGCAAGCCAGGACCAGAAATCGCAGTACGCTACCTGATGATCAGTCCCGTACTCGTGCCGTTCTCGACTACACTGCTGTCGCCTGGTCTACCGTTCACTGAGGGTAGCTCTAACGATGGGGAGACGGGCGTCTTGGGCTTAAAACATCCGACCTTGATCGTATTCGGAGCTGGTGACACTTTTACGGCAAGCAAAAAGCTTCGTTTGTGGGCAGAGAAGCTCCAGAAGGATTCGCCAGAGAAGAAGGTCCACTGGGCACAAATCGATGGTGCAGGTCACTTCTGGCGTGAACGTGGAGTCATGAAAGCTTTGCGGTCCGAAGTCCAAGCATGGCTGAAGAGTGATGCTCGTCCAGAGACGGGTCAGATGCAGTGAATATATTGCGTGGTCGAAACCTCGACCAGAACTCCTCGCTCGCTTTCCATCGTCAAATCATCATCAGCATTCAATCATATCTTTACACCCCATACACCGCGTCCAGCACAGACTCCCAGCCAATCGCCGCCTTGGTTCGTGAGCTGGCTCTGCGGGGCCCATGATACGTTCGCAACTTCGTATTCGCATCTCCAGTTGGCCAATGGTCCCTTCACGGTAGACGCAGACTGCTCGGTGCCATTGCCGTTCAAAGCAGGCACGGAAGCTTGGTTCTGCGAATTCAGCAAATCCCACAACAAGACCATGCTGTCATCTGCACCAGAGGCGAGCATCCCTCTCCGACTTGGATTCCACTCAATCGCGTTGAGGTTGCCTTGGTGGCCACGTAATTCCAGGAGCGCGGTACCTGGTTGCCGGACATCGAGAATTCGAATAACGTTGCTATCAGAAGCAAATGTGGCCAAAAGATGGGCGTCGTGGGGCGAGGCGGCAAGTCGGAGAAGTGGAGGCGCTGCAGGCATGTGAGACTTCGATGGGGAGGACGCCGAAGGAGAGGAGGCTAGAGATGGTCAGCTTGGATTGAATCTTGAGTATCACAAGAGTCTTACATTTGTCACTCTTCTCCGCGGGCTCGTAAATGATGGTCGAATGCTCCAGACTTCTCAAATCAAACATTCGAACGCTGCCATCAGCACCGCAAGAAACAAAGACATCCACAGAACCCGCACAAAATCGCACGTCAAATACTTCCTTGTCGTGAGCGATCAATTGCGTCTTGGCTGTAAGCGTCGGAATATCCCATATGGTACATGTGGTATCGATTGAGGATGTTATGATCAGCTTCGGAGAAAGCGTATTCCAATCCAAGGACGTCAGAGGAGCGGTGTGCTCAGGAGTCTTGCTGTTAGAGAGTAGAGCAAGCGGTTGCAATTTCTGGGGCGCTGGGTCTCGAATGTTTGTAGACGCACTTCTGTTGATGTGCGAAGAGTGCGGTGTGGAGGGCGCTGGCAGGGACCACAGCCGCAGATGATCACCACTGGTAGCCAACAGATCTGTACTGGACTTCTGCGAGCTTGGAGGCTCCCAAAGGATCCTCGTTACAGGATATGCGCATGTGGCCTCTGCAACTTTGCTGTATTCTATGCCGTACGGCGCCTGTCCGGGACCGTTGACGTCCTGAGGTGTAATGTGCGTGTCCAATATCTGTATGAAGTTGTGTGGATCCTCCAAATAGCTGCCGACCGCTATCTTGCCCGCCCCAGAGCCGCCTTGCACTGGCCACTTACACCAATCGAACGCGTAGGTTGGGAACGGAGCGAGATAGTTCGAATTCGTGGGTTGCTCGGAGTAGCTGAAGAAGGCGGTGCCCTGGGGACCCTCATTGGCGTCGGAGATGGCCCGCGACCGAATATCTGTGAGGTTCAGAGGGCTATGCGAGGGGCCCGCCCCCGATTGGGGCGTCTGAGCATTGGAGAGATTGAAAGCCTTCGGATTGGAGGTGACCGGCGTCTGAGCGGGTGTCTGATTGAAAGGAATGTACTTGGAGGAGCCGTCCAGCGTCCCCACACTGGGGCTGCTCCGCGAGTGACTGTGCAGGGTATTGGAGCGGGATGGGGGCTGCGAGTACTGCGAGGCATTGTTCTGCAACGGCTGGGACTGCATGGTCGAGGTCGTCGGCGAGGCCGTGTACGCTGAGGAGGCAGTCGACCGCGAGCCGCCTGCCGGCTGCAGGGCGCCTGGGAGAGCAGCGGACGAGCTGGCGTTGGAGGGGATCACGCTGCTCGCCTGGAAGCCTTGGTTGGGCGTGGCTTGCTGAACGGCGAAGGACGGCGTGGACGTTGCCGAGTACTGAGACGGCAGGTAGTTCTGCAGCGAGGGCGCGCGTTCGTGAGCGC